TTATAGATCTTTCATATTTATATACCATTTTAATTCTATTAATGTTTAATTTTTTAAAATGATTGTTCTTAGCTGTTCCTATTTTATCAGTAAGCCACCTTGAGTCCCTGTCAGGGGAAAAGTGGAGTATAAATAAATATATAACAATAATAATGGAGCCTTCCATTGCTGATGTTCACCTGGCAGTGGCATGGCCCTTAGTGCTGCAGAACTCACCATGCAGAATGCTTTTCCTGCTGACAACAGATTTCTGCCATAAACTTGTTGCATGCTAAAGATTAGGACTGTGCAACTGCTCTTTTCCCCCAATTTTTAAAGTTAATTTTCCAAAATTTTAAACAAACAAACAAACATACATACATCATAACTGTACTTAATCCAATCTTAATAACATTGTTAAGAGACTTCCTCAAATTCCCTTGACTGAATTTCAATATATATCATTGTAATGGTTTTCCAAAACAAAATCTCGTAAAATTTACTTAATCCTCTTAACATCTTTGTTTCTTTTCATCTTTGCTTTAAACATAATATTCTATAACTTCACAGATTTAAATCCTTAGCCTATCTCATTTTTTTTGCAGGTATTTCTAATTAATTTATCTTAGCATATTTCAGTAAATAATCTTTGAAGTTCTTCCATTCTTCCTGGTGCGCCTCCTCCTTCTGGTCACGGACTCTTCTGGTCAGGTCGGCTAGCTCCAAAAAGTCCATCATCTTCATCTGCCATTCCTCCACGGTTGGTACTTCTTGTGTTAGGACTGTGCAACTGCTCTGACTGAATCTTGAAAAGAATTGGGTCAAGTCAGGTCAACTCAAGATTCACCCAGAATAGGTTGCAGCAGGTCAGATCAGGTCCACCTGGAGAGTTGGCAAGGGCAGGGAGAGAAGGAAAACCCTGATTAAACTTGCATTCAGAGAAAGAGACATTTAAAATCTTAATTAGACACTGTGGAAAGTCCCTGGTTCAGTTTGGGGCCCAGATCCAGGTTGTGTCACTCCTGGGCAATGCTATTTTTCTAGAAGAAGAAGAAAGCTGCCCAAGCACACCATAAACAACTCCCTCATTCTCTTAGAATGACAATGGCGTCCACCTGAGAGGTGACAGAACTGGGCTCTGGCAAGTTCCAGTTGAAAAAAGTCCCTGCTCCTAGGTCAGGGCAGCTCCGAATCACCAGATTTGGACCCAAAACAAATCTGGGAACTCTCCCTGTCATCTTGCACTGAAATGAATGGGGTGGAATAACAAATATATATCCTAAGAACAAACCAGTTTAAAACCAAACGTGTTTCTGCAGCTTCACCTTTAATTGGTAAATGTACTGGTGAGGTAACTTTTCATCATCATAATCTTCCTAACAGCTACATCTGCACAGTGGTGGCTTGGCTTGGCTGTCCAAATATGATTTGTTGGAAGAAACTCTCCCCACTTCCTTCCATTTAAGTCTCTTTCTATTACAAGGTTACATCTTATTTCCTCCACTGAACAAGGCTGCTCCACTGTGACTCCTTGTAATGAAATAATTGTTTGGGATGATGCAACTGTCTGGACGGATAAAACTTCCAATTAATAGTTTTCTTGGGTGTTCAAAGATGATGCATGGCATTGTTTGCTCACCCACGTTTTCAGACATTTCGGCGGAATAGCACCCAAGTGCTAAAACATGCATTTGTAATTTTCTGTGTTGAAACTAGTTCAGATCTGCCTGTTCACGAAAATACTTTTTAAAATTACTGGTGACAGGATAGTGTCTGCTTCTCTTATTATTACTTTTGTGCCAGGCTCCATTGCCCAGGCAGGTGCAATCTGTGGCCCTGTGTTGGCTAAGACTCAGTCCAAATCTTTATTGTCTTCATTGGAAAGCAGGGCTGGCATGGCAACGGGGCAAGGATCCTGTTTCACAATCCACCCACCCTTGCTGATGGAATGGTCCTCCGCCAGGGTTCAGAAGAGAGCCAGTGTGGTGTAGTGGTTAAGAGTGGTAGACTCCTAATCTGGTGAACCGGGTTTGGGTCTCCGCTCCTCCACATGCAACTGCTGGGTGACCTTGGGCTAGTCACACTTCTCTGAAGTCTCTCAGCATCACTCACCTCACAGAGTGTTTGTTGTGGGGGAGGAAGGGAAAAGGAGATTGTTAGCTGCTTTGAGACTCCTTAGGGTAGTGATAAAGCGGGATATCAAATCCAAATTCTTCTTCTTCTTCTTCTTCTTCTTCTTCTTCTTCTTCTTCTTCTTCTTCTTCAGAAGTGCCCAAAACCCATTTCATGGAAATCAGCCAGTGCTGATTATTGGCATGGTGCAAGTCAGGTGTCCAGGGTCTCACTGGGTGATCAGGGTGAGAGATTCAAGCTATACAAGAGCTCGAACCCAAGCTTAGGACATGCTGTGGTCAATCCTTCCCTCAGGTCCCTTGGGGGGGGCTTTACAAACCCACCTAAAGGAATTTCCTTGTCATAGCCGGCAGTCTGAAGGCAGTGTTGGAAGCAGTTTTGCCAAAAAAAAGTTCAAGAACTTTGCCAAAAAAAAGCTCAACCAGTTGGGACTAAGGGACCAGTTAAGGTTGGGAGAGAAAAATATTTTCCAGCTCTGACTACCAATAGCCCAGTGAGGCTCTAACACTGTGGTGGGGTGGTTGGGATGGCACATGGATGAGGCATTTTAAAGGCCTCACGCCTCCCTCCTGTCACAAGATCTTGCAGAAAATGCCACCCCACAAGAGAAGATGCAACTGCACCTCCTCACAACTCTCTGGGCCCCACTCCGCCAGACCAAGTCACCCCACGCCTAAGTAGCACTTAGAGCAAGGCTAATCACAGTCACCTTGGAAGTGTTGAAAGAATGAAAAACATCCATCTTTTGCCACTCGTTTTGCCAGTACATTTATTCCTTTGTTTGTAGAGTTCTTTCCGTTTCTATGTACTCCAAGTAGGATTAGCATTGGATACAGCCCAATATTTTAAAGGGGGTGATGTTCTTATCTTCTCTCATACGTATATTTTTATACTAGAATGAAGAACAGAACAGTAATAAGTCATGTCCTTAAGTGCCTCTTAGAATATCTCCCTACAGCCACATTCCACTGCTTGTCCCTATCTAGTTAAACATGCTCTTTACTTCTACACTTCAGGCATGGGTGGCATTGCTTACGTAGGCAAAATTGCACAACCCCACACAAAAGAGGCATCTGAAGACTTAGGAGAATGCCAAGCATCTTGTATATATTCACAATGTTTTTTTAAGGAAAAGAAAACTGATGGGGAAAACTTCAAAATAGCCCACTGCGGACTGAGCATGCTTACTGAATACAGTGGTACCTCGGGTTACAGGCGCTTCAGGTTACAGACTCCGCTAACCCAGAAATATTACCTCGGGTTAAGAACTTTGCTTCAGGATGAGAACAGAAATCATGCTCCGGCGGCACAGCAGCAACGGGAGGCCCCATTAGCTAAAGTGGTGCTTCAGGTTAAGAACAGTTTCAGATTAAGAACGGACCTCTGGAACGAATTAAGTACTTAACCCGAGGTACCACTGTACAACAGTCATAAGGAATAAGGGAATATCATGAAGGACGCCTCAGCACAGCAGCGTTTTGTTGCAGGCCGCAGTTGCAGCCAGATCATGTGCATTAATGCTTCTTGCTTTCTCTGCACATAGAAAGCAAGCATGTTAAAGCAGGGCTGGCCCAGGACATTTTGGCACCTGAGGCTACCCACAAAATGGTGTGGGGTCCCCAGGGAAGCAAGGATGAGTGAAGATCCACATCAGGAACAAGGGGTGGAATCAAATCAACTTTACCAGATGCAGTGGCGGAGCATCTCCAGGGGGTGGAGAGCAGGAGGGGGTGGAGCTGGTGCACATCCCGGGGGTGGGGGGCGCCGGCTGCAGGGGCGTGTCATGCATCCCGGGGGCGTGTCGTGCTGTGATGGCACCCCACCGGGATTGCGCTGCCGGGGTGGTGTGCTCCCCCCGCAGTCCTCTTCCTCTGCCAGTGACCAGATGGTTTCAGTGGGAATCAAAGGCTGCTGTGGAGGGGAAAGGGCCCCACTCTGGATCATAATGTGTGGATACAGACCCCACGAGACTCCAGAGGTCAGTCCCCCCCCCCCCACTTCCTCCCTAGGGATAGGATTAGACCAGCAGCATCTCCCATTCACCAAGAGGCCTCTGTAGACATGGCATTGGTGGGACTGCTGAGCAGGCAGCCTATCCAGCCTCCTAGGGGTGCACCAAAGCCATCGCTGCTACCACAGCGGCAGCAGGAGAACCAGGCAAAGCATTCCTTGGAGGCTGGATTGGCTGCCGCTGTGGAGCTTGCCACCTGAGGCAGCTGCTTCACCTTGCCTCACGGGTGCGCCGGCCCTATGTCAAACATGAGAGATGAGGCATGCCCATTCCTGTCATTAAAGTTTCCTATGGGGGATGGGGAATTTAATGCGAACGTATCTAATTCATGCCTCCTGAAACTGAAATGCAACTGGGTTTTTAAAAATCTGTACTCGTCTGAATTCTTCAGTGCAGTTTCTCCAACAATGAAAACCTACACAAAAATGCACTGTCAAAGTGTGATATTCACCTGCAACGAACATAATGGGCAAACGTGCATTATGTTAGGAACCATATTAGGAAAAATGTTGGTTAAAATGCAGTCAAATATCTGTGGTGACCTCTTTTTTTTTAATGCAAACTGATGCAGAAAGAGACGAAATGACCTTGGCCAGAAAAATGAGGAGTAAAATGCAACAGAGATATCTGATCATCACAGCATGTTCTGACACTGAGCAAAACATCTTCCCTTTTCTTTTTAATTTTTTTTTTTAAATTACCCAGTCTAAGGCATTGTGAAAACAGCCATGATGGTACCATTGCTCAATGATGAGCCCTTCTCCGGTTGCTAATCAGAGGATGTTGTAGCAGACGATGAGTCAGAGCAGAGGGAAGTTGTGAACTGCTATATAAATCGGGGAGATCCCGCTAATAATACAAACAAACAAAGGGAAACCATTCACTCTACAGGCAAGGAAGACACCACCATGGCTGTAAGGATGAAGAATCTACTTGTTCTTCCATTCCTGCTGCTTATCATTATATCTTCCACTTTTGCTGCTTTACTGGGTCAAGGCAACGAAGATGAGAACACCAGGCTTGTTAAGGTAAATATTCACTACAAAAGTTTCATGGAGCAAAAACACACTTTTCTGAGCTATTGCTTCTTGTTGTCGTGCCAGGACTAATTCAAAATGGAGGGCTATTTGGCGCTCCTATTTTATTTATGGAGATCCAGTGTGGTGTAGTGGTTAAGAGCGATAGACTCATAATCTGGGGAACTGGGTTCGCGTCTCTGCTCCTTCACATGCAGTTGCTGGGTGACCTTGGGCCAGTCACACTTCTTTGAAGTCTCTCAGCCCCACTCACCTCACAGAGTGTTTGTTGTGGGGGAGGAAGGGAAAGTAGAATGTTAGCCACTTTGAGACTCCTTCGGGTAGTGATAAAGTGGGATATCAAATCCAAACTCTTCTTATGTTCGAATCTAGCCCTTCTTCTAAGGCTTTCAGGACAATATGCACATGGTTTCCTCTCTGTGCATGGAATCATAGAGCTGGAAGGGGATCTTGACAGTCATCTAGACCACCCGCTGCTCAATCTGGAGTGCCAGATGCAAACAACAGCATCCCTGACAGATTGCCACCTTACATTCCTCCAGTGATGGGGGCATTTTACCCTTACATCCAACCCGCCCCTAATGCTTATGATAGACATCAGGGATTTGGGGGGCTTGTCATTGGTTGTCACCAGCAGAAGGACCACTGGCAGTGATTCGTCACCTACTTGGGTGGGTCTGCAGCACCCACAATAGTAGAGTGCACACACACACACACTACACAGCATCTGACACTCCCATCATCGACATACTACTTGGAAAAGTCAGGTATTGGTTGATTCTGAGAGTCATACCTATTTAGCTGGCTTGGATTTTCACTGTGCATTTAAAAAATAAATATCTGGGCTTAAAAGGTAGGACAATGTGCCTGTGATATCAGGAAATATTCTGTTTTCTGCATAAAAGGCCAAGATTGTGTGCCACTCCCATTCCTCATCTAGAACCTGACTGAATTGGCTGCTGAATATTACTTCCACTCTGTTTATCTCACATTTTTATCTCACATTGGAAACACAAAGGGTCTAAAAGCATCTCTCTCCGTCCGTCCGTCCCTCCTTCCCTCCCTCCCTCCTTTTCTCTGTTTCCCCCTGGCAGTCCTATTTAAGTAAATTCTACAGCCCTGAAGGTGAGGCCGTGGCCACAATCAATATGGATGACGATGTCGCTGTAACAGAAAAGCTCAAGAAAATGCAGAAATTTCATGGACTACGAGTGACCGGAAAGATTGATGCCGAAACAATAGCAATGATGAAAAGGGACAGGTGTGGCGTCCCTGATGTGGAGCAATTCACCCTCAACCCAGGGGAGCCCAAATGGGACAGGAAGAACATCACATACAGGTAAAGGTTTGTAAGTTTCCCTTAGGAGTGGGCGGCTTCAATAAGGAAATGCTCCAGTCCTCAATGTACTTCCTCAGGAGTAAACTTAGGACTTTCTGCCTACTGTTCTATCCAGAGTTCAGCGTGCCTAAGGTTATAGATTTCACTGGGCTCAGCAAGACCTGATTTTTCATAGAACCATTGCAGCACATGTATTAGGATGATAGCCTATGGCCATGGTTGTGAGAGCTGTGCAGCGAGGCTTACACACACACACCCCGCAACAACAGCGTGAATGCATGAAAGTACACACTCACTCGCACTACCACTGCCATTGAGAGTGGGGTGTGTGTGTTAGGTATGTGCATGTACCCTCCCTCACACAGCAAATCAGGGAGATTTGGACTCTGCTGCCTGCAAATTTCATCCACTTGTGTGAAAAGCGGGGGAAGGTTACAGCCATTCTTAGATGCATCATTGCAGTCAGTGGGGACAAAACTCCTTCAGATTAACAGATCAAGTTGGGTTCCAAATAATGAGTCAAATCTAAATGACACAGAGTGGATTTGAAAAAAGATTGGGATGCTTCCAAAGGCTACAGGTATAGATACAAGGTGACTCTTGTGTTCACTGCATGTCCCTAGTATATGCAATTAGCAGACTCGGGTGATAAATCTTTTCTTTTTTCTTTAAAGTGTGCACATTAGGTGCAAAGACATGCCTGTCTTGGGGCCAAAGTAGAAAGGCATGTCTTTGCACTTAATGTGTGTGTGTGTGTGTGTGTGTGTGTGTGTGTGTGTGTGTGTAACCAGACTCCACTCGCTTGACTCATCCACTGGGCTGCTATTTGTATTTGCTTTGCTTTCTTTTGATGTACAAGTCAAATGGAAAGACATATTCAAATGTGTCTCTACACCAGCCTTCCCCAATCTGATGCCCTCCAGATGTGGCTGGACTCCAGTTCCCATCAGTACCAGACAGCATGATCAGGGTGATGGGAGTTGTAATCTGAAACCACTGGATGGCACCTGGTTGGGGATTGTGGTCTGTCTGTCCAACATACCGTTTCATTCTATATTCTGGTTGCCTAAGCAGTGCTTCCCAAACTTGGGTCTCCAACTGTTTCTGGACTACAACTCCCATCATCCCTAGCTAGCAGCTGGAGACCCACATTTGGTAAACACTGGCCTAAAGGAATGACCTTGCGCCTTTTTTTGTTTGTTTGTTTTTGAAAGGATTGTAAGCTATACTCCAGATATGCACGAATTCTATGTGGAGAAGGCAATCGAGGCAGCATTTAAAGTTTGGAGCAGGGCAGCACCCTTGGAATTCAAAAGAGTCACGGATAAAGTGGCAGATATAGAGCTCTCTTTTCAACGTGGAGGTAACCCTACAGTGCAAGAACAAAGTCACTATATGTCCAATTTTAATAATGATGATGGTGGTGATGTATTGTTTTATATTCAGACCACTATGATAATTCTCCTTTCGATGGGCCTGGTGGGACACTGGCACATGCCTTTCAGCCAGGGAGCAACATTGGAGGAGATGTCCATTTTGATGAGGATGAAACCTGGACCGCAGGGGGCCCACAAGGTACCATTTTACAACACTTCCTTTCTCAGCACTGAACTGTATAAAAAAGACAACGCAGCGCATAGGTGACGCAAGGATATAAGCAACTGGTTTATGCTGATGCTAGGTCCCCGAAGGCAGGCAAAGGTGATTGGCGGAACAGATGATATCCTTCCAGAGCATGCTATGTCCTCATTCTAAACTCTTCACTACACGAAGCATTTCTATGAATGAGAGCAGCAACGTAGGTGCAACGTGGAGGCAGTCCGTAGTAGCTGAAGCGGGGTGCAGGGCAGGGAGTCGGGTGAAGTCAGCAACAGGCTTGCAAGCAGGGAGCCAGGGCGGGTCAGGAACTCAGGCAGGAAAGCAGGACAGGGTTCAGGCAGGAACTAGCAACCAACAATGTTGCTCCCGCAACTTGGGACTGGGGCTAGCTGGCTTTTATCTGCCCCGAGGCATAGGGCGGCCCCGATCCTCTGGTGACTCGTCCCTCCTGGCCTGCAGGCGAGCACTCCTCCTGCGGGAAGTTAGTTCCCTCAGCCTCTCTGCCCTGAGCCTCTGCAGCTCAGGAGAGGCTGGAGGGTTACCAGACCCAGAGGCAACCTCAGCTTCCTCTGACGGGGCTGAGAGTGGAGCACCTGCAGGCAATGGGTCCTCCATCACCTCAGGAGCCAGAGCAGGCTCAGCTGATGCCTGCACCTGAGGATCCAGCACAGGTGAGGACCCTTCAGGCTCATGCCCAGCCCCGGCTCAGCTGGTTCTGGAGGCGGGGAATCCTGTGCAGGCTGAGATCCCTCAGGTTCAGCATCCAAGTCCGAATCCCAGGCCATCACACTGAGGCTCTAGCCCAGCCCTTTCCCTCCTATGCAACTTACCTATTACCTATTACCTATTAGCCGCACTAATTCACATCCCAATAGGACTTGAGGCTAAATTACACACAATGTTAAATGCATTCGTGAATGTAACGTGTGCAGGACTTGGCTTTCTCTTCTGCCTAAAAACAAACCCACAGGGGGATATCAGGATTAATGCTAGGACATGCTGGAAATTAAAGTTCCCCACTTGCCCCATCCCACCCCCGGCATTCTGATGAATATTTCCTCCCTGTTAACTGCCCTACAATCGAATTTTCCTTTGGACCAAACACAATATTTTTGATTTGATTTATTAAATGCATCTACCGCCCTTCCTCCGAAGATCATAGGGCAGTTCGCAGCAGGAGATTTCCTCTTCTGCCAAATAGCAGGGGGGTGGGGTGATTTTCAACAGGACTGTGGAGCAGGGAAAGGGTCAAAAAGCATCTCTATGCATCGTGGTCCCAATCCTGAGCAGTGCCCACCTCACTAGGGAAGCCAGACATGTTAAATGTAGCTTGACCTGTCCTTCCTTCCTTCCTTCCTTCCTTCCTTCCTTCCTTCCTTCCTTCCTTCCTTTATTTTTCTCCAAGGAGCTCAAGGTACTTTACGTGAATCTCCCCCTCCTCATTTAATGCCCAAAGTGACCCTGGGTTGGGGTGACTGGCCTAAGGACTCCAACTCCCATCAGCCTATCAGTGAGCTTCCTGGCCAAGTGGGCATTTGAACCCTGGTCTCCCAGGTCCTGGTCCAACACCAGCCCAGAAGTTTCCCAACCTTGGGTCTCCAGCTGTTTTGGACTACAACTCCCATCATCCCTAGCTAGCAGGACCAGTGGTCAGAGATGATGGGAATTGTAGTCTGGAAAAAGCTGGAGACCCCAGGGTTGGGAAACACCGCTCTAGCCACTAGACCACAGTGGCTGGGTCACATTCTGCAACCCTGATAAGCAGAGCCTGCGCTCATCCTCTGAGCAGCAGCCCCTAGTGAAAGCAGCTCGTTTTATTTCCATGCCTGGAGTCTATATTCTGACCCTTTTTCTCCTAGTTTCCCCCCTAATGGAACTATGACCTCCCTTTCAGGCCACAACTTGTTCATTGTCGCTGCCCATGAGATCGGACATGCTCTGGGTCTGTCTCACTCCACCGACCAGGGGGCACTGATGTACCCCTCCTACACATACTCGGACCCCCGCACATTTCAGCTCAACCAGGACGATATTGATGGCATCCAAACCCTCTATGGTAAGGCTAAGAGAAATCACCATAAAGTTGAAACGCATGTGTTCTTAAACGAAGGAATTGGTTTTGCCTGCCCGTACCTTAAGATGGGAGTGGGGAACATTTGCCACTCCAAGAACGACATTTCCTTCTTGGCAACCTTTTTTGGGGGGGCAGCATGGCACTGGTGGCTAGAGGTGAAAGAATGTAAATTTTCACTTGGTGAAGTAGAATTGGTCCTCTCTATCTTCTCATCTTGGCAAGCATGAGTCCCTGTTGCTCAAGGAGGATGTGACGCAATCTCAGAGGAGGTTCTGGTCTAGGGAGAGAGGAGGTGGCTTGGAAGGGGTGTAGCTTGTGGGGGGGGGAGTCCCAAGAGTGGGCTGGAAGGCTGTGTTTGGCCTTCAGGACTGAGGTTCCCCATCCCTGTCTTCTGGTCTTCTGGAGAGGCACTGCTGCTCTCCTTTGTGAAAGTGTGACATAATTCTCTCTGCAAAAGAGGGAAGAATAATAGAATCATAAAATTGTAGAGTCGGAAGAAGAAGAAGAAGAGCTTGGATTTGATATCCCGCTTTATCACTACCCGAAGGAGTCTCAAAGCGGCTAACATTCTCCTATCCCTTCCTCCCCCACAACAAACACTCTGTGAGGTGAGTGGGGCTGAGAGACTTCAAAGAAGTGTGACAAGCCCACAGTCACCTAGCAGCTGCATGTGGAGGAGTGGAGACGCAAACCTGGTTCACCAGATTACGAGTCTTCCACTCTTAACCACTACACCACACTGGAAGGGACCCAAGGGCCATCTAATCCAACCCTTCGCAATGCAGGAATCTCAGGGAAAGCATCCATGACAGGTGGCCATCCCTCTGTCTTGATGTTGTGCTTCTACAAAGGAGAAGGCCTTTTCCACTCTTGTTTTGGAATGACTTCTGGCATGGGGGCACATTTGCTGCCAACACCTCAAGTTTCTTGGTGCTGCATGAAGATTTTTGTAGGCACATAGGTTTTTGAATTTGGAATTGTGCTCTGTTTTTTTAAATAGTTTTTTTTTGTGAGGGGTTAAAAAAAACCCTTGAATTTTGCCATTTTGGGGGTCAGTGATGGTTTAAAATTGGATCTATATGTTGCATGAGTTAATTTGATTCACCCTTCCGTAGATCGCCCCTCGGATGTTTTGATGAAGGGTGGTTGTGAACCTATTTTAAATAAGTAAATAAAGCTGATGAATAGATGGGCGGACCACAACCTACTGGAATATGGATTTCAAGGGAAATGGAATGCAATTCAGAGGTGCTTTGCCATAGGTCCTCCGTTTCAATAGGGTTTGCATAGAACTCTGACAGATTGGGCCCACATCTGAAATATGCCTTATTGCAGCAAAATGAGACTTGCTTTGCATATATATATATATATATATATATATATATATATATATATATATACACACACATACACACACACACATTGTAGCAAAAGGCTTTTTTTTAGTTTAACCTTCACTGAATGCTGCTGCTCTGAACATCACCTTGCTTGCTTGCTTGCTTGCTTGCTTGTTTGCTTAATTACTTAATTACTTACTTACTGTATTTCCATATGCTTAAGATTGCTTAAATTATCCACTTGACGTGAGGCTTCCTTTATTTTTCTTTCCATTTAGGAAAACCTGATATCCCAGTAAAAGGACCCAAAACACCAGAAGCTTGTGCCCCCAGCACCACTTTTGATGCTGTCACCACCTTACGTGGAGAAATGTTGTTCTTTAAGGGCAGGTAAGTTGCTTTCTTAAAAACACCAATTTGAACAAAATTTCCATCTCCAAACAGGACTTGCTTCTCTAATGCCTTGCTCCAGCACCCCACCTGTACCAAAGCATGCTCTCACTCTCAGCCCTGCATTTCGAGGCGAGGTAACAACAAAATGAGCCATAAGAAGCCATAAACAAATGACATTAAAAACAGCAACACCACATACCTATCGTTTCAATTGTATGTGTCATGATGGATCAATTCAGTGTTGTGTGACTCTCTCTTACACAGACAGACAGACTACAGATCACTCTATGGCGGCTTCACCCCACAACTCACAAAATCCGGCTAATAGTCTGGATTCATTCTGCCATTTTGTCACAAAAACAGAATCATGGAATTCTGCAATCATAGAATGCAGAGAAAAGCATCAGACTGAAGTCAGAGCCCTGGACCATGTTGTTCAGTATTTTCCACATTAACTAGCTCTCCGGGGTTTGAGACTGGAGTCTTTCTCATCCCCTATCTGGAGATGCCACTTACATGTTTCCACTGACATTTTCAAATTAGGTATTTCTGGCGCAAACACTTCCAGTCAGGTGTTCAGCTCGAATTCATCGGTACCTTCTGGCCGGAACTGCCATCTGGAATACAAGCCGCCTATGAAAATTATGAAACTGATAACTTCCTTGTTTTTAAAGGTGAGTGGCGAACTTCGATTTCCTTGCAAAATTGCTGCAGAATAAGTACTGAAATGCATTCGGTCAGTGTTCCTCAGCCAGCATGGCCTCTTCAGGGTGCTATGTGAAAGCCTAGGGTATGTAGGCAGTATTTATTTAATCAGCTGCCTTATCCTACGTACTGTATACTTACCCTGAAGTAAGTTCTCTTGGGTTCTGTGGAACTGAACCCCAAGTAATATTGCAGCCTGGCCAAGCGAAACTTGCTCATATAATTTGGCCTTCATGTTCTAAGTTCTGCCACGTTGCTGTCCTTCAGACTTAGCCAAGGCTTATCAAAGGCTTCACACACTCTCAGCGACATCGAAGAATGGAAGCTAGGAAGGCCATAGTTTTTGTAATACTAGCTTCTTCCATCTATCAATGCTAGCATTCCCAAAAACCTTTTTGAATAGTATAATACTTTTGCGGGGTGAACCATTCCACATTCCAGTCAGGAGTTACATGTTTCACTTGAGTGTTGTTTGTACCTGCATTTCAGGGAGGTTAAATAGCTGCTGTTGGTCTTCATCCACCACTGAGAAGAAAGGCAATATCTACCCCTGTGTTTCTTTGAACCAAGTAAAGGGAAATGCCCTTTCCAAGCCCAGTGTAAGGCAGGAGGTTGGAGTGTTTTGCTGTTTGTTGTTGTTTAGTCGTTTAGTCGTGTCCGACTCTTCGTGACCCCATGGACCAGAGCACGCCAGGCACTCCTGTCTTCCACTGCCTCCCGCAGTTTGGTCAGGCTCATGTTTGTAGCTTCGAGAACACTATCCAACCATCTCATCCTCTGTCGTCCCCTTCTCCTAGTGCCCTCCATCTTTCCCAACATCAGGGTCTTTTCCAGGGAGTCTTCTCTTCTCATGAGGTGGCCAAAGTATTGGAGCCTCAACTTCACGATCTGTCCTTCCAGTGAGCACTCAGGTCTGATTTCCTTAAGAATGGATGCGTTTGATCTTCTTGCAGTCCATGGGACTCTCAAGAGTCTCCTCCAGCACCATAATTCAAAAGCATCAATTCTTCGGCGATCAGCCTTCTTTATGGTCCAGCTCTCACTTCCATACATCACTACTGGGAAAACCATGGCTTTAACTATACAGACCTTGTTTTGCTGTTAGGAAAACATTATTTAAGAAACAGATAAAAGTTCCTGGAAGTTTTAAAGAGGGTTCCAGAATTTTCTTTAGTGTGTAGGAATGGCGCTCTAGGCTTGATTGGTGTCAGCCGGAGGTGCAAATGAAGGGAGGAAGTTGCAGGCTGCAATTTCCACACAAGGAAAGTGTGTGTGCGCGCACACACACACACACACACACATGCTGTCAGCACACATTCTGACAACAAGTTTGGAAGTAAGACAACGTGTGCTGCTGATATTGTGAGTTTTGCTGTGTCAGGATTGTTAATTACTGGATTGAGATTATACCGTGCTGGAGAGATAAAGAAGGAACGTAGATAGCTTGTATATACAGTGGTACCTCGGGTTACATACGCTTCAAGTTACCGTACATACGCTTCAGGTTACAGACTCCACTAACTCAGAAATAGTACCTTGGGTTAAGAACTTTGCTTCAGGATGAGAACAGAAATCGTGCTCCGGTGGCGCAGCAGCAGCAGGAGGCCATAGCTAAAGTGGTGCTTCAAGTTAAGAACAGTTTCAGGAACCTCAGGAATGAATTACCGTATTTTTCGCCCTATAGGACGCACTTTTTCCCCTCCAAAAATGAAAGGGAAATGTGTGTGCGTCCTATGGGGCAAATGCAGGCTTTCGCTGAAGCCTGGAGAGCGAGAGGGGTCAGTGCGCACCGACCCCTCTCGCTCTCCAGGCTTCAGGAGAGCCCCAGCGCCAGCCCCACAAGGTCGGGGGACAGAGGGAGGCGGAACGCCGCAATCCCGCTGTCTCCCGAAGTGGTTTGGAGGCTGGCGGCAGGGAGACCCCGCCGCCAGCCTCGCAAGCTCCGGGGACAGTGGGGAGGCACAGCGCGTCTTCCCGCTGTCCCTGTACCTGATCTGAAGGCGGGCGGCGGGGAGAAGAGCGCTTCTCCCCGCTGCCTGCCCCACAAGCTCCGGGGACAGCTGGGAGGCACAGCACGTCTTCCCGCTGTCCCCGGACCTGGTCTGAAGGCGGGCGGCGGGGAGGAGAGCACTTCTCCCCACTGCCGGCCCCACAAGCGCCGGGGGGGGGAAATAATTTTTTTCCCTTTATTTCCCCCCAAAAAAACTTGGTGCGTCCTATGGGCCGGTGCGTCCTATGGGGCGAAAAATACAGTAAGTACTTAACCCAAGGTACCACTGTAATAGTAACAGAAATGCTTGTGCAACCAGTCAAGCAATAAAAAATCTCTTGACTGTGAATTTGAGTATGACTCCTGTTCTTGTCCTCTGCCTCCGGGGAAAACTCTGCTACAAACAGTAAGAAGTGGTTTTACCGAGGTGCCACCACACAAGCAGAAAAGACCAGCAGAAGTGTGTGGGCGGTAACCTCTAATATTTGCCACATCTTCTTAGTAGGACAGAGGAGTCCATGCAATCTCTCTCACAGGGAGAAAGCAATAATTTAGCACTCGGTCTTCAGATCACCTTTTAATTCCAAGCCACTTTGGACACAATCACATGAGCATAGCCAGCAGTAACCATTACCGTATTTTTCGCTCGATAACACGCACCTGACCATAACACGCACGTAGTTTTTAGAGGAGGAAAACAAGAAAAAAAATATTCTAAACGAAACAGTAGATGTATGATTTTTGTGGTTCATGCTGTGGCCACAGACATGTGATCTGATGGTGAGTTTGGGGTGACCCAGTGCAAAAATCCTGAGGATCCATGTGGATCTGTGCTTTGTAACCACGTTTTAAGTGGGGAGGGAAGGAAAAGCACTCAATGGACAAGGAGCACGCGTGGGGTGTGTGGAGAAGGAGCTTTTCTGTGAGCTGAGCGGGGAGGGAAAGAACACTGTTGCTTTAAAGGTATACTTAAGGTATTTGTCCTGTGGCTGGGGTTTTTTCCATTTAACAGTTTGCAGCCTTTTAATTCTGCTCCTTGTTTTGAGGCAGAATAGATTTGAGCAAGTGAGGAGGACTTGGATTGCAGGGGATTCGCCATTAGCTGTGTAAAAGCGCTCCTCCTTGCAGCCTGAGTGATAAGCAGCCACCAGCAGCAATAGAATGGAGCACAAAAAGCGGTAGGGGCACTAGGACCCAGACAATGCTCAAATCTATCCTGCCTGAAAACAGCTGAGAAGCGGGGGATAGCCTTTTTTTTTTACTTCCTGGTTTTCACTGCGCTCGTGGCTCAGAGCTCCAGGTTGGTTTTTTTGTTGTTGTTTTTTGCTGCTGGTTGCTTAAATTTTATCCTTCCTGATCCAAGCCCTCCTGTCCCTCTGCAGCCTCATTGCTCCGTTTAGAGAGCGGGCGGACCTTTGCTAGCTGAGGCTGCAGCAGCTGTTGCTGGCTACTTTAAAAGCGCTTGCTGGCTTTGAACCGCCTGCCTTCTCCCGGCTCGCTATGGCTCCCGTCTGTCCCTCCTCCCCTGTAAGCGGCTGCTGCCCGCTTTGCTGCCATGCCTCTCCTTCCCTCCCTCCTCCTCGGTTCCTCCCCCTCCTCCTGGCTGCAAAGCAAGCAAAGCTAGAGCCGTGCAAAGCCCTGCAAGCGGCTCCCGCTTTGCTTGGCTGACGGCAGCCACGGCTCCGATCCAGTGCATTCGCTCCTTAACACGCACAGGCATTTTCCCTTACTTTCTAGGAGCAAAAAAGTGCGTGTTATGGAGCGAAAATTACGGTAATTCATTAATTCATTCATTCTTAAAATATTTATATACCCTAACTCTCTATCAAACCTTCCTGAGGCATCTAACATAAAACGGTTTCCCTATAAAAACATTATTTGAACAAAACTGTTTCCCTTGAATTACATGGAATGTTATCCCCCTCTCTTTTCCCCCCAGGAAACAAATATTGGGCTCTAAATGGATATACCATTGAATCTGGCTACCCTAAAAGCATCTACCAGCTGGGCTTCCCAAATACTGTGAAGAGAATTGATGCCGCGTTTAGTGATCCAGAATCTGGGAAGACATATTTCTTTGTAAATGAGAAGTATTGGAGGTATGGCTTGACTATTCTGAAGTTCCAAATGAGGGATGGAACAGTCTGTTTTCAGTCTGGCCGATTTTGCCAGCATTTATTCGTAACTCTGTCCTGTCCCATTTCCACACCTGTCTGTGATTTTTTAAAGAACAATGCATAGATACAAAAAATACATTCAACTGCAAACTAAAATATGTATTTTATCGCAAAATGCCTATTAAATGCATATTTAAATAAGTATTTAATAATAACACACATATTTATTTATGGATTTAAAACAAATTGTAGGAATGGGAATTTCAGTGTACACTTTTCTAACCCCATTTTGTCCTAAAACATGCATTTTTATGCATTTTTTTGAGCTGAAACTATTGAAAAATTTGGAGAAGCGTGAAATACGAAGGATAACAATATTCAGATCCAGGATGTACAAATTAGGTTGGGGCCTGCTTAAATATACAAACATAAAACTCTCTTTTCCTAATGTGTCACTCTTAAAGTGTGGCCACTATATATTAATTTACTTGCATTTATATTTTTTCTTGCTATCATTGAGGAAACCCAAGGTTGCAGGTTCGATCTATGAGAACATATCCTGGTATTCAGGAGGAAGCAATAGAGGCTGCATACATGCCATATATTTAAAACACATGTAAAACACAGGTTGTTGTTTGTTGTTTAGTCGTTTAGTCGTGTCTGACTCTTCGTGACCCCATGGACCAGTGCACGCCAGGCACTCCTGTCTTCCACTGCCTCCCACAGTTTGGTCAAAGTCATGTTGGTAGCTTCAAGAACACTGTCCAACCATCTCTTCCTCTGTCATCCCCTTCTCCTAGAGCCCTCAATCTTTCCTAGCATCAGAGTCTTTTCCAGGGAGTCTTCTCTTCTCATGATGTGGCCAAAGTATTGGAACCTCAGCTTCATGATCTGTCCTTCCAGTGAGCACTCAGAGCTGATTTCCTTAAGAATGGATAGGTTTGTTCTTCTTGCAGTCCATGGGACTCTCAAGAGTCTCCTCCAGCACCATAATTCAAAAGCATCAATTCTTCAGTGATCAGCCTTCTTTATGGCCCAGCTCTCACTTCCATACATCACTACTGGGAAAACCATAGCTTTAACTATACGAACCTTTGTCGGCAAGGTGATGTCTCTGCTTTTTAAGATGCTGTCTAGGTTTGTCATTGCTTTTCTCCCAAGAAGCAGGCATCTTTTAATTTCGTGACTGCTGTCACCATCTGCAGTGATCATGGAACCCAAGACAGTAAAATCTCTCACTGCCTCCATTTCTTCCCCTTCTATTTGCCAGGAGGTGATGGGCCCAGTGGCCATGATCTTAGTTGTTTTGATGTTGAGCTTCAGACCATATATTGCGCTCTCCTCTTTCACCTTCATGAAAAGGTTCTTTAATTCCTCCTCACTTTCTGCCATCAAGGTTGTGTCATCTGCATATCTGAGGTTGTTGATATTTCTTCCGGCAATCTTAATTCCAGCTTGGGATTCATCCAGCCCAGCCTTTCGCATGATGAATTCTGCAAATAAGTTAAATAAGCAGGGGGACAATATACAGCCTTGCCGTACTCCTTTTCCAATTTTGAACCAATCAGTTGTTCTATATCCAGTTCTAACTGTAACTTCTTGTCCCACATAGAGATTTCTCAGGAGACAGATGAGGTGATCAGGCACCCACATTTCTTTAAGAACTTGCCATAGTTTGCTGTGGTCGACACAGTCAAATGCTTTTGCATAGTCAATGAAACAGAAGTAGATGTTTTTCTGGAACTCTCTAGCTTTCTCCATAATCCAGTGCATGTTTCAATTTGGTCTCTGGTTCCTCTGCCTCTTCTAAATCCAGTTTGCACTTCTGGGAGTTCTTGGTCCACATACTGCTTGAGCCTTCCTTGTAGAATTTTAAGCATAACCTTGCTAGCATATGAAATGAGCGCAATTGTGCAGTAGTTGGAGCATTCTTTGGCACTGCCCTTCTTTCGGATTGGGATGTAGACTGATCTTCTCCAATCCTCTGGCCACTGCTGAGTTTGATTCCCCCAAAGAATCCCAGGAACTATAGTTTGCTAAGGGTGCTGGGAATCATAGCCTATTTTCATAGTCACAATGTTTTCCAATACATTATTTTCGTACGTTGTCCCATTTTTTAATGGTTCTTTCCATCAATCTAGTTGATGGCCTTGTTTATAGAAGTGAGAAGTTTCCTTAGTTTTGTATTTCCGTGAATTGTGAATAAAACCTATTTAGGTTTTTTTAGCTTCAAGTAACAACACTTGTCTCTGATCAGGTATGATGAAATTAGACAATCCATGGAAACAGGTTACCCAAGGCTGATAGCCCAAGATTTCAAAGGAGTTGGCAAAAAGATTGATGCTGCTATACAGCAAAATGGTAAGTAAAGGAATAAATTGGTGCCTTTTTTTAATTGTAGAAATAAGATTCACCTGGAACTCAGCAAGGCTTAAAGAATAGTCCAGGATCTCATATATTGTGTTATTAAAATGTATTAATTGCTGTGTTGTTTTAATGGATTTGTTTTGATGCATATTTTAAAGTTGGTTGAGCTTTTTTGGGTAAAATCACTGCCAACGTCAGATTTTCCTGGACATTTTTTAGTGATTTCCACTTTGGCAACCCTATACTTACTCAACTGCTGATTTGGGCATTAAGCACTACATTAATTTAATAACAGCAGGAACCATTGTAGACATACCCTAAGACTGGACTTACTCCAATTTTACAATTTTGCCTGAACTTCAATACAGTCATGAAATCATAACTTTCTTTTTTTCTTTCCTTTGCAAGCACAGCTCACTTATTCTGAAAGAGATTTTTTATCCCGCTTTTTCATTTATCCCTATCTCTTTTCTCCTTTTTTAGGGTACATCTATTTCTTCCGGGGAAGACGGGTGACTCAGTTTGATCCTCGGAGGAAAAGCGTTGTTCCGCCCATTCAAAAGAGCAACAGCTGGCTGAACTGTTAAAACATCTAACGAGTGCTTTCTAATTATTAGTTAGCACTCCTGTTGTGCCTAACCTTAATTTATAAACAGCAATTCCTCCTTTATCTACTGTCAACTGATGAATCAACAATGGCACGTGGAATTATCTTCTCACCCAAACGTACAGAAATTTTGGCTGAGTAAAACGTGCCCTAAATGTGCTTATGCAATCCACTGTGTTGTAACAGATTTGACTCTGCTTCTTCTATAAAAGACTTGTTATGAGGAACATCACTGTGTGTGTTTACTTTGTGATTTTCTGAACCGAACACCACATATACAGCTCTGTTAGATTCACAACCAACCTACAAAAACCAGTGCTAACTCTCTGAAGTCAGAGAGGAAGAAGTTCACCCTTTTGCAACTCTTTGACCTGATTCACACATTTATGTGCCTCACTGGATTGGTCATCACTTGATCATCACCGGATAACTCAGTATGGAATTGCCATCTGTAATGTTATCTCTTTGATGGCTCATTCACTCGTGAAATAATAATAATAATAATAATAATAATAATAATAATAATAATAATAATAAATTATTATTATTATTATTATTATTATTATTATTATTATTATATTTATTTATTTATACCCTGCCCATCTGGCTGGGTTTCCCCAACCACTCTGGGTGGCTTCCAACAGAATATTAAAAAACAATAGTCTATTAAACAATAAAAGCTTCCCTAAACAGGGATGCCTTCAGATGTCTTCTAAAAGTCTGGTAGTTGTTGTTCTCTTTGACATCTGGTGGGAGGGCATTCCACAGGGTGGATGCCACTACTGAGAAGGCCCTCTGCCTGGTTCCCTGTAACTTGGCTTCTCGCAGTGAGGGAACCACCAGAAGGCCCTCGGCACTGGACCTCAGTGTCCGGGCAGAACGATGGGGGTGGAGATGCTCCTTCTGATATACTGGACCAAGGCCATTTAGGGCTTTAAAGGTCAGCACCAACACTTTGAATTGTGCTTGGAAACGTACTGGGAGCCAGTGTAGGTCTTTCAAGACCGGTGTTATGTGGTCATAGGGATGGGGGATAAATTCAATTCAGTTCACATTTAAAGAGGAACCTACCTAATTTGCACTTTGTGAAACTCACAGTTCACTGGATTTTGCAACACAGTTCTCCAACCAAGTAATGTGTACAAAAATGCATACAGTGGGGTAAAGTGTGCAAAAAAAAGAATTCGCATACAAGTGGAAATGTGCATGTTTGTCCAAACTGCATACAAAAAGGGCTTATTAGGAGAAACTTGTGTGACTGCAGGATACATCAGGCTTCTCCACAACTGAGCAAAATGTGGATTCACACCTGCCTGCCGCCCCGCTGATGTAGAAGTATCCATATGACTTTCTCTTCATCCCATTGTTTCCTCCTTTAAATGTGGGGTTTCTCCATTCTTGCAGAGTCCAGAATCCAGAGTTGCAGAATCAAAAACCAACAACCCTACATATAAAGGAGGAGAAATCTGGGACAGCAATAGAGTGAGACCCACATTTTTCTCCAGTTTGATCAAGGCCATCTCCTTCTTGAACCCTTTGGTAGGCCCTCAAGCATGTTCATTTCATCAAATCTGGCCCTCTTTCAAAAAAGTTTGGGCACCCTTGAACTATGTGATCTTCAGGGTTGATTCCTCATACTGAAAAAGACAGCATGGTTAACTGGCACAAATTAACACATGGTCATCCCCACACACATAGTTTTCTTCTTCAGTGGCCTTCATGAATTGTTGGCTGAACTCTCCCTATTATCGAAGTACTATTTAATATACCCATTTTCCACAGACCCAGAGGCTCTGGGAGAAGAGAGATGAACCAGTCATACAACACTCCCCAGTTTAGCTGCTCCATCTCACTGGGCGGCCAGAAGGAGCGCTGGGGTACAAAGGATTGGTTTCCCCAAAGCACACCATGGTTGTGTATGGCGCATGCCATTCAACCCGGGACAGCACTTGGTAAACCCAGACTGCACACACTGAGCCATATGTTTGTGTGTGTTATCAGATCCTGATAACTCTTTTTTTAAAAATTACCCGCCAAACCAATATATATATATGAAATTACTATAACAAACAACAACATCGTTTTGAAGTTCAGGGTAGAGGGACAAACATTTGACAGGGGAACGCCGGAATATGAATTCACCTCTCAGGAATGTGGTAGGGTTGCCATATTTCAAAAAGCTTTTAAGCTATTTGTAATGGAAATTTGCCCCCCAAAATCAACACTTCCAATATGGTCTGCCTTACACCCAGGTTTTCCCGCACATTTAAACCGATTTCCAAAAATTTCACCCAAACGCCATTTTTGATGGATGAATCCCGGCTATGTCCGGGAGATTCCAATTGCATGGCAGCCCTAGAATAGGGCTGATCCAATTCAGATCTAGCAAAGCTCCCTTTGTACATAACCAGATTCAAATTGGGATTCTTACTCTGCTTCCACTGTCTCAGGGCGGGGTGTGTGTTAAAAATTATTACCTTAAAGAGGCAGGTAAGAGGTGACAGAGTACTCTCACCCTGTCAGAAGAAGAAGATGAAGAAGAAAAAGAAGAGGAGGAGGAGGAGTTTGGATTTGATATCCCGCTTTATCACTACCCGAAGGAGTCTCAAAGTGGCTAACATTCTCCTTTCCCTTCCTCCCCCACAACAAACACTCTGTGAGGTGAGTGGGGCTGAGAGACTTCAGAGAAGTTTGACTAGCCCAAGGTCACCCAGCAGCTGCATGTGGAGGAGCGGAGGAGCGAACCCGGTTCCCCAGATTACAAGTCCAACGTTCTTAACCACTACACCACACTGGCTATCCTGAGGGATCTTTTCTTGGCTGCAGATAACAAGCAGAACATAATTTATATCTGGACTGCATGGGAAAGGGAAGGGGGAAAGAGGAAGAGGAAACCCGTGGGCAAATCATGAATTTCAGGTGTTCCAGCTGAGCACTAAAAATACACCCACACCCACAAAGGATTTCATATGTTTGACCAAACAGCCCAGGGATGTGTGTGGATGAAGACATTGCTCAGTCCCAATCCAGCAATTCTTAAAATAATGGAAATGTGGGACATAGGAGATGCTTACAGGGGACCATTTGAAGGTGGGCAAAGGAGACCTCACATCTCCTATATCCACTAGATCTACTTTGCAAATGCTCTTCCAGGACCCTGATCTCCCAGTTAGGTTCATTTCCAGGCAGATTTGGAGACTGACTCAGCTTCTTAGAAAAGAACCTGTGGGCAGAGGGAGAGAATCAGAAGGAAGAACAGTGCGGAAGGGAATTTGGTAACGCAAATTGTGTCTTTCTGCATTTCAGTAGGAAGGCGATGTCACAACACGAAGCACTGATGTGTAATCTTATCTCGTTTACAAGCAGCAATTATGACATCGCTCCATGTCAGTAGTTTACATTCTTTCCAGTTTCCACTGTGGGATAAACATCAGTATGGAGTGCACACCTCCTCCTGAGGCTATGTGTTTTTCAACATGTGTCTGGCATGCCTCTTTGGTGACCTGAAATTAATGAAAAATTGCAAGAGCCTACCTTGAGAAGGGAAAAGTAGAGGAGGAGTCTTCATGGAAGAGAAAGCTATCAAGCGCTACAAGTCATGGTGGCTATGCTCTGCCTCTGTGGCTGGAGGCAGTAATGCTTCTCGGCACCAGTTGCAAGGGAACACAGTGCTGTCGTGCTCATTTTCTGCTTGGTTTCCCACAAGGATCTGGTTGGCCATTGTGAGAACAGGATGCTAGACTAGATGGACCATAGGCCTGATCTGGCAGGTTCTCCTTATGCTCTTATGGAAGAACCAGTGGAGAATGAAAGGTTGGCCAGGGCCAAGCCCAGAAACCCTAACAAAATATGATGACACTGTAGCAAGAGCTAGGGGGAACAATGGCTGCCATAGGATCAGGGAACACACACAAATACATATATTTCAGAGCACTTTTAGTCTGAAAATGTTCACGGGCAAACACAATGTTCTTATGCACTTAAAGGCCGGTATAATATGATATAATAAGATGTACATTTTGTAATGTTCTAGAGGGGCCTTTCCAACAAGAGGTCTGCAGGATGGCAACATGGGAACAGGCATTTTAAGCTGTGGCTTTCCATTTGTGGAATGCTCTCCCTGAGGAAGCTCGCTTGGCGCCTTCATTACATATCTTTAGGCATCAGGCAAAAATGTTTCTCTTCAACCAGCCATTGGGCTGATTAACATTCTATGGCACTTTAAATGTGTCTCTGGGAGGGGAGTTATTGCTTTGTTACGTTTTTGTTTTGTTAACTATTTTGTGTTTTTATTTTGCATTTTTATGTTGTGAACAGCCCTGTGGTCTTCAGACGAAGGCCTGTATACAAATTTAATAAATAAAACAAAACAAAAGTCACACCAAAGTGACTTTCTCATTGCACCGTCTTGATTCAAAATGGGGCTGGCAATCCAAAGGGTGAAGAAGTCTGCCACCCCAACCTCAGGACCCCTTGTGCTGAGTTTGGCAATGATATCTCAAGAGATGTCCAAAGCTATGGAGAACAAATGGAGAAACCAGTTCCCAAAATACGTTACTGCATATAAACAACAGGTCACATTCTGCTGATAAATTTGTGTTCTACTCCACAGGAACAGGATGGTGGTGAAGCAAGATGCTTAAAACAGAGCACAGATGTTGCCTCACGGTGATGAAAGTTGCAGCAAGGGAATTTAATAACAGGCAATTTTGCAGACAATGGTGAACCTCCTGATCCTTTGGAGGTTCTGAGAACTTCATCTCCTCCTGGTACCTATAGGACCTTGAGAGGAGGCAGGAATGGGGAACGTATGGCCCACTAGAAGTTGTTGGATTACACCTCCCATCAGCCCCAGTCGGCATTGCAAATGGTCTGGTCTGATGGGAGTTGTAGTCTAACATCAAGTGGTAGGTCTTCTGCATGGGGAAGATGGAGAAATGCCATTGGGTGACAGAGAAAAGGCAAGACTACTCAACAGCTACTTTGCCTTTGTCTTCACCCAAAAGAAAAGTGATGTCCAACCTGGTGATAACAGAATAAATGATGTAAGGAGGGAGCTGCAGCCCAAGATAGGAAAAGAGGTAGTAAGGGAACACCTAGCTACTTTCAATGAATTCAGATTTTCGAACCGATGGGTTCAAGTTGCAAGAATGCAAATTCCGAATAAAAATTTGGATAAACTTTCTGACAATCAGAGCTATTTAACAGTGGAACGATCTCCCTTGGGAAGGTGGTGGACTCTCCTTCCTTGGAGTTTTTGAAGAAGAGGTTGGACAGCCATCTGTCATGGGTGCTTGAGTTGAGATTCCTGCATTGCAGGGGGTTGGACTAGATGACCCTTGGGGTCCCTTCCAACTCTGAAATTCTATGATCATTTGGAGGGCCTCAGGTACCCCATCCCTGATGTACAGGAACAGACAACCTCCTGCTGACAACAACTTGTTATGGAATATATGAGTTTTGAAACATGTTTTGCAAACTTACTCAACAGAGGAAATGTCAGCAATTTGTGGTTGATGGAGGATTTCCAGAAGATTAGTACCAGCTCCTGAAGTGGGAGGTGAGCTGGACAAAGGTCTTCTCCTCCAAGGGGCACACTGAGGACACCTAGTTAGCTTCTGTGGGATTAGATGGACTTCTGGTCTAATCCAACATGTCTCCTATGTAAAATTAGCTGCCTTTGTCATATACCTTCCCTCCCTCTTTTGGTCTCAGACCACATACAGCCTGGGTGTGGAACAGCATTCGGGGACATTTTTCTTATGGTGCACAGGCACATTCTCAGGGGATAATCCTTTAAAGGACATGTGCTGACAATGGATATGGTACACACCTTCTCTCTCTCTCTCTCTCTCTCTCTCTCTCTCTCTCTCTCTCTCCTACCAGTCCTTTCCCACTGTTTTCCCTTTCCTTGCCACCTATAGGAAATTAAGCTGAACTGGGGCCCCAGGTTGACCACCTCTGGTGAACAGGATACATGGTAGGGCACAGGAACAAGCAATGGGTGAGGAAAAGCTGGGGTGAAGACGCATTCTTGGGTGCTATGCTATTTTGTATGCCCTTCCATTGGCTGGCCTTGAATACAAGGTGCAAGTTTTCGTGTGTGAGAGAGAGAGTACATTGTTTCAGAAGTGAGTCTGCAGCAGAAATTCACCTTATTTTAGACACACATACTATCTTCTTCCCCATATCAGCTTCACCAGAAACCTGTTTTTTCCTGGTTTGCTTCAGAAGACATTTGTGCAGAGCGCTGATCGGACTGCCAATCTGTCAATCATGAAACCACTTAACATTCTCACAGCAAGTCTGTATGCAATGCTGATTGTCTGACCTTGGTATCAGTCATGAGATCCGTGCTCAAAGTAGATCTTCAAGTGGGGGGGAAACATTTGCATTTATGGCAACATCTAGTCTCAGCTTCAGGACAAAGAGGCTTGCTTCCTTGGTCATTTTGTGGTTTTATTTTATGACTTTGATTTAAATTGTACTTGTTTTAATTGTGACATTGGGGGGGGGGCATTTCACGATGATGACGTAGGAACAGGAAGAGGACAAAGTGTGCTTAGATTGCTTTGCTGTTAAAACAGCCACTCTAGAGTTGCAAAAACATTTCCTGTTTTACATCTTCATCCCAAGCATACCTTCTTGTTAGCAAGTGTCACAAAAGCTGGACTCTGTTCTTTCATTGCAAACATGCTTGCCAATATGGTGTTAGGCTGCCAAACAAGCTTATCAGCAAGTCGGTTGTTTTGTGTGTGTGTGTGTTGGGGGGTTTTTTGGGGGGGTGGGTTTGCAGAACATCATTTATTAGCTGCAACAAAGGGTTACAAAATCAGCTTTTTGAGTTTACTTGCATTGTGACACCCTCTAGTGAGCCTTATGTTTTCTGTTGCTAATCAGAGCATGATAAACTGTGAGTCAGTCCACAGCTGGCTTTATGAAACCTAAAGCAGAAAGGAGCCTGAAAGTCAGAATTACTGCAGGAGCAGAATATGCCACCGACCCTTCTCACAAGGCAAGACCACCCAGCTTTAAGATGACGAGTCTCCTGCTTGTCCTACTGTCGGCCACATTTTCGTACGGATTGCCCATTTTTTCAGGGAAGCAAAGTGAAGAACAAAAAAGACAGCTTGCACAGGTAACAAACGTGATCAGCCCCTGAGAAACTTGGAGGTCATTGCTAGAGCATGCCTTTCCGATTCTAATTCCAGGGCCCTTCCTGTAGAGGCAAGGCTTGAGCCTAAGGATACTTCTAGCAGGTCTTTTGGGGCAGGGGTGAAGACTTGTGTGGCTGATCAGGAACGGCAGTTCTTCTGAGGTAGCATGGTGTCTAAGAAACGGACCTGCGAATAAGCAGGTCCCTGGTTCAGACCTCACCTTTGTGAAGGTGATCTGCAGCAAGCCACTATCACCCAATCTCACTCCCTACATCTGCAATACGACAATTATACTGGATTAATTTGTTGCAGAGTTGTTGTAAGAGATTATACTGGAAGCACTGCGAGTCCTTGAAGGTGCTCAGTATTGTAATCTGTTGATGTTGTTAAGGCTGCTTTGAAGGAATTACTGAAGGACTTTCCTTACTTGCGCCTAAGTGCTGAAAGGTGATGTGTGGGCTGGTTCAAATGTCACCTGAGCCTCTTTAGCTAAATCTCTTAAGATAATATAATTAGAATTACTTGCGAGTACCAAATAGGCCTAGGGTTTGAAAATGTGGTGTGTAAAATATTGTGTTAAAGTTAAAAATGAAAAGAAAGTAAGATGTCAATTGACCGAGTAAATTTTATGGGGAAATCGTTTTGGAAAACTGTTACAATGATTTATATGGAAACTCAGCCAGGGGGGTTCGAGGAAGTCACCTAACAAAAGTGGAATTATTATAATCAGGATAAATGTTTGTTGGTTTGTTGGTTTGTTGGTTTGTTGGTTTGTTTTTTTTATTTTCTTTTTCCTATCTGTTTGTTATAAATTTGGAAAATTAATTTAAAAAATTGGAAAAAAAAACAACAACAAATGTCTCCTGAGCCTCGTGATCTCGGTAGATCATAGAAACATTGAATCGAAAGGGACCACAAGGGCCAACTAATCCAACCTCCTGCAATGAAGGAATTTTTCGCCCGACGTGGGGTTCAAACCCGCAACCCTGAGATTAAGAGTCTCATGCTCTACCGGCTGAGTTATCCAGCCGATGATCAGTCCACTGTAATCTCCATCCTTCCTTTGCACTAGATGATCATCTGTACTACAACCACTTCTAAGTAGAGCCACTATTTTCACCGACTCTCCTTTCCTCGTTCTTTCCCTTCTTTCTCTTTGTGCTTTTCGTTCGGGGACGATGAGGGCTAGATTCAACTCGAAGTGTCTGTGGATGTGGGTTGGAGTTATTATTTTGGTGCACACGTAAGTTCTTTGAACACCGTTCAAAAGATCAGCCTCACTTTCCTGATCACTACTGTGCTTTACTTTTGTTCTCAGTATTTCAGATTTTCTCAATGTTGCACCTAGATTAAATGATTGGCGGCGGGGGGGAGGAATGCCTAAATAAAATGCAACTGGGGGGTGATTATTCTTGGCCTCAGGACTCTTTCTGGTATTATTACTTACCCTGAGACTTTGGAGATAGGAAAGGTTAAAAATGAAATAATTACTGTATATTAAACCCCCCTTTTTGGCAATCCTGTTCACTCACCTGCAAAGAATTCCTAGTCACCTATAGCGACCAGGCTTGAATAAATGACTGGTGTAAGCCATTAACCACTTTGCCAGTGGCTCCTGTCACCCACCCTCTGTGATCATGGAAAGACAGACTCCTAACCGTTTAGGCTACAACCTTTTTTTTTGTACCCATTTGCAAGGCTGGTATAATAGACCAAAGCAAAGTGGGTGGGGCCCAAAAACAGGTGGGTGGGACCAAATAATTTGTGGGTGGGGCCAAAGGACAGTGTTAAAAAAAGGAGAGATGTAGGATTTGCCTTCTTTCTGTGATTATAATTAGTTTTATACTCTTCTTAATATTGTGATTTATTGTTTTAATCTTTCATGGGAATTTTGGGTGAACATCAAGTAATTGATTATAATGACCAGGAGAGGAGCTTGTCACAGGAGGAGGGGAGACCCCTATTCCTCTTAACCAGCCAGAAGAGTTTTATGTACCGTTGCTGTAAGCCACTTCAATTTTTTTAAAAAAATAAATGAAATAAAATATATAAATATGTTTATAAATAATAAATGGATCCTAAACAACCATGCGGTTATTGTTGGCTTTATGCTGTATTTTTTCTTAACATTAGCAGTACAGAAAATTTTTCCAGTTAAATAAATTATAGACACTCATGGTTCCTTCTAATAATGATGATGATGATGATGATGATGATGATGATGATGATGTAAAATCAGCAGAGGTGATCAAATAATAACTAGAGAGGATTTCATTTATTTATTTAATATTCCTAAGAAATTGTTATTTGTTCCTTGGAAAATGCAAAACTCTTCATATTCTAATGCAGAAATCACAACAGGTGGGGGTGGGGTGGTTTTTAGAAGGCACCTTCCCAATCCTGTAGCAAATTTACTATTATCTCCTTTTATCAGGAATATCTAAATCAGTTTTATGAGCAGGAAAATGAACCACAACAACGAGGCTGGAAAAGCAATAAATCTTCCTTTGTGGAGAAAATCCAACAAATGCAAGGATTTTTTGGACTGAACGTAACTGGAATGATAGACACTGACACCATGAAAGTGATGGAGCAACCCAGATGTGGCGTACCTGATATTGGACAGTACGTCCTGGCCCTTCCTGGGTGGGAGAAAACCAAGCTTACGTACAGGTAACAAACAATTTTGGGTGGCAGTTAGGATGAATCATGGGAGGTGTGGGAGATTCCCTATTCCGAATGGTAACATGCACATCTAGGATGGATCTAGACCAGGCATCCCCAAACTCAGCCCTCCAGCTGTTTTGGGACTACAACTCCCATCATCCCTAGCTAACAGGACCAGTGGTCAGGGATGATGGGAATTGCAGTCCCAAAACATCTGGAGGGCCGAGTTTGGGGGTGCCTGATATAGACACATTTTTAAAAAGTGATTCAATTAAACGCGTTGTAAACTTCATACAGAGAAATCCCATTGGCAAAAGACGGGACTCCACAGCGCCATCTGGTGTCACGGTGTTATAACACATATAAAGGGCTTTATTTTTACGAATGTTGCTGAGTCCAGAGTAAAGAACAATAGCCAAAGGAACATGGGGAGTTGATTTATACTGAGCCAGACCATCAACTCATCTAGTTCAAGATCATCCACACTGGCTGGCAGTGGCTTTCCTGGTTTCCAGGGGCGCATCTACACTTGTGGTTTATAACGTTTAAAATGTGTTATTAAAATGGGACACCAGAGGGTGTTGCAGAGCAGCAAGCCACCAGCAAAGGGAAACTGCATTAAACGTTATAAGAATGTTATATCTACAGTCCTATATGGAGATGTTGGGGATTGAACCTGTGAATTTTGTATGCAAGGCAAATGCTCTACCACTGAGCCACAGCCCTTACCTGGCCTGTGTATTTAAGATGCCCTTCAGTGCCCTACTTAAACTGCTTTGGAATGATTCTTAGACAACTTGTCCTTAGTCTTAGACTTGCTTTCCATGACCATTGCTTCCATAGTGGAATCAACCCAGGAGAAGGGCTCGGTTTCAGTGGATTTTGACATGCTAACCTGTTCTTGTGAATACACCTGCATAGATTAATTAACTACCTGTTCCTATGCATGTTTTCTTAGAAGTAACTTCTGCTGAATTCGATGAGTTTTACTCTCCAGTAAGTGTGTTTACGAAGCAGGGCTGGCCCAAGCCATATTGGCATCTGAGACAAACAATAAAAGGGCTCCCCTTCCTCCCCACCAGGGAAGAAGGGGTGAGTGGAGATCTACATTGGCAACAAGGATGGAATAAAGATCTATATTGATATCTGCTGCCCTGTGGTTGCCTGGCTTTGCCTTCTGGTGGGCCAGCCCTGCTGTAAAGCAAAAATCCTAAGCACACAACTGCTTGGGTTGCTGATTGGAAGGTCGGAGGTTCAAATCCCTGCGACGGGGTGAGTTCCCGTTGCTCGGTCCCAGCTCCTGCCAACCTAGCAGTTCGAAAGCAAGTCAAAGTGCAAGTAGATAAATAGGTACCACTCCGGTGGGAAGGTAAGCAGCATTTACGTGTGCTGCTCTGGTTTTGCCAGTAGCGGCTTAGTCATGCTGGCCACATGACCCGGAAAAACTGTCTGCGGACAAACGTTGGCTCCCTTGGCCAGTAAAGCAAGATGAGCGACACAACCCCAGAGTTGTTCGCGACTGGACTTAACTGTCAGGGGTCCTTTACCTTTCTTTTTTTTTAATGCATCAGATTGATTAGTAAGACTGCAATAATTAAACACATTTACTTGCGTATGTGGGCTTATTTCTGATTAAACGTGCATAGGAACAGATGATTAATCCTGCTGGCTGCATCAGGACGTAGTCAACAGAAAGCTGGAACATGTACAAAACCAGTTAATTGCAACAAAATGTTGGGGGGGTGATGCAGATCAGCTTAAATTCATCACATTTGATTCAACAACAACAACAACAAGTCATGTGAATTGGACCCATATTCTGGAACTGATCAAAAGTGAAATCTGGCAGAAATCAAAAGCTGCTTGGCAACTTCTCCAGCCCATCTCCGAACTTAATTAAAATCTTCAGTTCTTAAAAGCTCATCATGGATTGTGACAGCAACGATAAGGATGAGGGTGAAACCATTTCTTGCATTTTATTCTTTTAGGATTGTGAATTACACCCCTGATATGAAACAAGCTGATGTGGACACATCTATCCAAAAGGCGTTTGAAATTTGGAGTGCAGTGACTCCTCTGACTTTCAGCAGGGTTTACGAAGAGACAGCAGACTTCTATATTGTGTTTGTAACTGGAGGTAGTATATGAGATTCGTTGAACTCTTTCCATTGCTATAGCAGTACGTGAATAATGACTCCTCCCTATGCTTTCGATCAGCACATGGCAACTGTCCTCGGCGTTTTGACGGTCCTCTGGGAGTCCTCGGTCATGCGTTCCCCCCCAGTGACCCCTTTCGTGGAAACGTCCACTTGGATGACGACGAAAATTGGACCGCCAGCTTAGTCCGTAAGTTGAACAAGGGTCCCTGGCAGAAATGATGGCTCCACGTAGGGTTGATTGGGGTGAGGTGGGGAACCTCAGGTCTAGAGGCCCAGTGTAGCCTTCCATGCCTCTCTGTCTATACCACGGGGCTCTTTCTTCAATCCTTGAGAGAAAACATAAAGTGAAACTTAAATGAGAAAAATGGAAATTTTGTTGGGCAGCCAAGCACACCCTTCAAATAGGAACCTTTAGAATTTTCATTCCCTCCTTAGTTCAGGTTAAAGGTTATAAAAGGTAAAGGGACCCCTGACCATTAGGTCCAGTCGTGGCCAACTCTGGGGTTGCGGCGCACATCTCGCTTTATTGGCCGAGGGAGCTGGTGAACAGCTTCCAGGTCATGTGGCCAGCATGACAAAGCCGCTCTGGCAAACCAGAGCAGTGCACGGAAAAGCTGTTTACCTTCCTACCGGAGCAGTACCTATTTATCTACTTGCACTTTGACGTGCTTTCAAACTGCTAGGTTGGCAGGAGCAGGGACCGAGCAACGGGAGCTCACCCCATTGCAGGGATTCTAACCACTGACCTTCTGATCGGCAAGTCCTAGGCTCTGTGGTTCAACCCACAGCGCCACCCGCGTCCCTGTTAAAGGTTATACTGGAATGCAAATCCATAGCAAGTTATGGTATGCATTATAAATACATTTTAAATATTTGCTATATTCTCCATCTTCATCCAGAGTAAGACCCATGGAATTCAGCGGGAGGCAGAACACACGTCAGGCTGCACATGTAACTTGTCTTTGCGCACTTGTTTCGTCATTTAGAATTCAACCTGATGCTTGTTGCTACTCATGAGATTGGCCACGCCCTTGGCCTTGCACATTCTGGCGACCCAAGAGCACTGATGTTCCCCAATTACAAGCTCATGGAGCCCATCGATTTCCCACTCACCCAAGATGATATTGATGGCATTCAGGCTATCTATGGTAAGACAAGAGAAGAAGTCCAAAACACGTGGTAATAACCAAGAGCATAATATCAACATCTCTAAAGTTAGAATGTATACGTAGAATCCTAAGTTGTGTGTACAAATTTCTTTCTCCAGTGAGTCGAAAAGGACAGTCTGTGTGTGTGTGTGTGTGTGTGTGTGTATTTGTATGTGCTTGTGTGTTGGTGTACACACACACACACACACACACACACTTCCACTAAGGCCCACGCAGAGGGGAGGGCATATGGGTACACTTGCCCAGGTCTTGGAGGGCTACACAATCCGGGGCACCCTCCCAGGGGCCTGCCGGATTTACGCTGTAATGTCAAGAACAAGACTCCCACCCTGGGCCTCATATAAGCTCTGCATAGCCTGCTTCCACTACAGTGGTACCTCAAGTTAAGAACTTAATTTGTTCTGGAGGTCTGTTCTTAAGCGGAAACTGTTCTTAACCTGAGGTACCACTTTAGCTAATGGGGCCTCCCGCTGCCACCGTGCCGCCGCCACACGATTTCTGTTCTCATTCTGAAGCAAAGTTCTTAACCCGAGGTACTATTTCGGAGTTAGTGGAGTCTGTAACCTGAAGTGTCTGTAACCTGTAGCGTCTGTAACCCGAAGTACCACTGTATTGCAATAAAACATGTGGGTTAAGGTGGATGGCTTCTGCAGTCGCTGTAGTAGCAAGTAGCCTGTTTGAGCCAAATGGTCAGGGGCAGACTCCGATCTTTCAAATTTTAGCGGCACCCTGTGCAAGCTCAGAATTCAGTGCCCCTTCCTCCCAATTCAATTCTTCTCAATTCACTATGCCATGGTTGTTGTGTCCTGTGGCGCCCCCTAGGCTCAGAGCCCAGTGTGGCAGAACTGGCCGCAATGCCCTAAATCTGCCTCTGCAAATGGTGAAATTCCAACATGTGAGGCTGAGTCACATGGCCACATGCACACTGTAACTTTAAAGCACAGTTTGAACAGTCTCTGTCGGAAGGTTGTAGACTCTCCTTTCATGGAGGTTTTTAAGCAGAGGTTGGATGGTCATCTGTCATGGATGCTTAAGCTGAGATTTCTGCATCGCAGGGGGTTGGACCCTTGAGGCCCCTTCCATCTCTATGGTCCTATGAAACACATTCTTTCCCTCAGAGAATTCTGGGTGCGGCAGTTTGTTAAGGGTTCCTGGGAATCGCCACTCTCTGAGGTATAAACTACAGCGCCCAGAATTCTTTGAGCTAGAAAATGTGCTTTAATGTATGTGCGTAGCCTATGAATTATTTGAAGAGCAACTGTAATCAACAAATTACGCTAGTAGGACTCCAAGAAGTTTTGTAAGGAGAAATATACGAAGTGTTACAAAGTAGAAAAAGATAGAGATATTGTTTATGAGTTTGAAATGTAATAGGGATGATGAGAAATGCATACTGAGAGATTAGATTGGAAAATTTTCAGACAGGATTGCTGGAAGTCAAAAATTTGAATAAGATGTAAATGTATGTTTAATTACGGTTGAAAATGATATGTTAAAAAAAACTAATAAAAATTATATAAAAATAATAATAAAGTATACGAGTAGCCACAATCCATCTGAGAGGAGGAGCTGCTGGTGGTCCGGCATGTGAGCTAGAAACACCTTGTAAAGGTACCTTGTAAAGGTAAAGGTCCAGTCGTGACCGACTCTGAGGTTGTGGCGCTCATCTCGCTTTATTGGCCGAGGGAGCTGGCCAGCATGAATAAGCCACTTCTGGCGAACCAGAGCAGCACACGGAAGTGCCATTTACCTTCCTGCCAGAGCTGTACCTATTTATCTACTTGCACTTTGACGTGCTTTTGAACTGCTAGGTTGGCAGGAGCAGGGACTGAGCAACAGGAGCTCACGACCGTTGCGCGGATTCGAACCGCAGACCTTCTGATCAGCAAGTCCTAGGCTCTGTGGTTTAACCCATAGCGCCATCCGCATCCCATAGAAACACCTTGTGCAAAACCTCAAATTCTGTTGGTCACGATGCTGCAACTGTCCAGCCTTCTGCACTTATTTGCCTGCTTGAGAGGTGATAGGATAAGCCCAAGTTCAAATCCCCATGACGAATCTCTCTGGAGAGCCTCAGGCCAGGTACAATCTCTCAGCATAACCTACTTCGCAGGATTGTTGGGCAGATAAAATGAAGGAGGACCACATCTATCACCTTGTACTTTGGGGAGGAGAGGTAAGTATTGTCGGCAAGGGGTTGAAATGGTCCTCCTTATTTTTAGGACCATCGCGAAATCCACCCAAAAAGCCAGTGAAGCCATCAATCCCTAAGGCCTGTGATCCAAAAATGACCTTTGATGCCATCACTACGATGCGAAGAGAAATCATTTTCCTACGGGGCAGGTAAGTACAAGCACCCTTGGAATCTGTTTAAAAACTGAAGTTTGCATTTGCCCCACGGCCTGAATATGTAGACAAGTGTATGGGTGGACAGCTGTAGCGATTCTTCTAATTAATTAAAATCATCATTATAGAAATGCATGTAATTACGTTGAATGGAGTATGTGCATATGAAGAAAAAGCACTTATAAATCACACACACACACACACACACACACACACACACACACACATAGAAGATGCAACCCAGCAGGAACCTTGTCCGTGAGGGATGAGCTGGTAGTCTCACTGCAACTATGTCCCCAAGTACTTTACCTTTTCTTTTAGGAGTAAATTGTATCCATTCATTCATAAGAGCTGAGTGGGGACTAGACCTCCTCCTTGCCCTTGATGAGCTCAATCCTATCTTGGTCACACTAGATTGTGGACTTGGGATGGGAAGTTGACAGCTAATCTTGACAGCTACTTAGCATTCACAGAATGCATTTTTGGTGACTCAAAGACTTCATGTGGTAGCTGGACTTGCTGAAATAGTTGATAATTCCATGTCCCCCACCCAACCTCAAACGACCGGATTCAAAGCGCTGGCACACATTCTAGAATGGACTGCAGGGAAAGGCGCAATGATGCAACACTCCATTGCTAAGAAGGATCCTTAAAAAGCCAATCTAGGAACCAGCCAGATGGGCTGCAGAAGCACCAAACATCTGTGTTGTCCTCCTCACAAAGAAATTATTATTATTATTATTATTATTATTATTATTATTATTATTATTATTATTTATTTACAATCAGGTAGGTAGCAGTGTTGGTCTGACACAGTCGAAATAACAAATTAAAAAATAATCCAGTAGCACCTTGGAGACCAACTAAGTTTGTTCTAGGTATAAGCATGCACATGAAAGCTTATACCTAGAACAAACTTGGCTGGTCTCTAAGGTGCTACTGGACTATTTTTAAATTTATTATTTACAAGACAAACACAAAATAATCCTATTCATTTCAGGCACCTCTGGAGAGTGTATCCCAGTCATTCAGAAGTTGATTTTGAATCAATTTCTACCTTTTGGCCTTCTTTACCATCTAACATCCAAGCTGCTTATGAAAATATGAAAGATCAGCTCCTCTTTTTTAAAGGTAAGCCGCCCTGAAATTATCCTTATTTGTCTTGTTGAAAGTAGTTTCAGCAACTGGCATTCAGAAGCCTCTAAGGTGTTGGCCACTGTTTCCCACAATGGCCAATCAGATGCCTACAGGAGATCTGCACCAACAGGGTGCAGGGCATGTGGGCAATATCCCTTTCCTTACTTGTGATGCCCAATTGGACACATGCTGCCCTTGAACTTGGGAGTGGTATACAGCCATTGACTGGGAGAACTATTCTACTCTGGAGTACCAGTAAGGACTGTAGCTAAGCAGCAAAGCATCTGTTTAGTGTGCAGAAGATTCCAGCTTCAACCTCCATCATCTCCAGGTTGAGTTGGGAAAGGATTTTCTGTCGGAATCTCCACTCGGCCAAGCTGATAAAGCTCATCTTCCGGCCGAGTCCTTCAGAATCGCCCTCTGACGAATAATTAACGACCTGAGCCTTTGATAAGGCCTCAGGCACGTTCCCCCATTCAGCAGAGTTTCCAAAGCAGCAGAAGTGATGAGGTTTATGGCTACGTGCTACGCTTTATTACTAAGCTACGCAGAGAGCAAAGAAAAATACATCTTCTCCCTGTGAGAGCAGAGAGCAACTGAACAAAGGAACAAAGGAACAGAGAAACCAGTACGTCACATCCGTCTCCCTTCTCCCGTGAGACTTCCAATAGCCTGGACTGTCTCTGGAATGTAAACAGAGCTTTGTGACTCTAAGCAGCTGCTCAGTGGCAAACAGAAACTAACATTTTCTGCCTGAAACCTAGAGACTTATTTTCACAGTAGCTGGACCAGCTAATGAAGGAGGAAAGCAAGAGATGGAGGTTTTATTCTCCTATGCCCCCTCTGTCCATCTTACTAGCAATGTGATTGGTAGGACTCTGGGGCAGGGAATTCTCCTGAGGTCTCTTTTGGGGAGGTGACAAGCAGGGACTTTGCTAGGTAGGTGAGAAAAGGACTGTGAGCTTTGCATATGCTCATTTGAATGCATCATTGGAAAATTAAGATGGCAAGCGGCTGAGGTCTCCCTAGTGTGTGTCCAACACACAATATATAAAGACCCAGACCCAGCACAAAACATCTGAGGTTGGGAGAGGAAGTACCCAGCCGGCAAGTTGGGAGGGGGAAGCTGAGAATCTCTCTACAGGCTGGATTTTGATCCAAGCTGGAGAAGAATTCTGGGCCTTGTAAATCGCAATTTTCATTTTGAGATGGGCTTTCCCAGCTCCCATGTACTGTAAGTTCTCCAGGCCTTGCTCAGGAGAACTTTGCTTTTTCCTCAGCAGACCAACTGGTGTGTCCCCAGGAAAAAGAGCTAGAATAAGCCTTGCTCTCTAGAAGATGTAAACCTTCTGGAACTGATTTACACTGGTTTGCAATGAGGACATTGACATCTATGTGAGCTTTGTTAAATGAAACCAGAAACTCTTTCACACGACATTTTCCACCTGTTCGAACAGATAATCACTTCTGGGTCTTTAGCGGATTACAGATGCAGCCTGGCTACCCCCAAACCATTGACCATTTGGGCTTCCCACAACACATTAAGAAAATTGATGCAGCTGCTTTGGATAAAAATACTGGGAAAACCTATTTCTTCGTTGGGAACAAGTACTGGAGGTAAGATCTCTGGGGAATGTATTTTGCAACAGTGCATGGACAGATGTTGCATTGGGCTCTCACAGGGAATGTTCTCCAAAGTCCTAATAGAGGATGTTGTTGTTTAGTTGTTTAGTCATGTCCGACTCTTCGTGACCCCATGGACCAGAGCACGCCAGGCACTCCTGTCTTCCACTGCCTCCTGCAGTTTGGTCAAGCTCATGTTGGTAGCTTCGAGAACACTGTCCAACCATCCCGTCCTCTGTCGTCCCCTTCTCCTTGTGCCCTCCATCTTTCCCAACATCAGGGTCTTTTCCAGGGAGTCTTCTCTTCTCATGAGGTGGCCAAAGTATTGGAGCCTCAGCTTCACGATCTGTCCTTCCAGTGAACACTCAGGGCTGATTTCCTTAAGAATGGATAGGTTTGATCTTCTTGCAGTCTATGGGACTCTCAAGAGTCTCCTCCAGCACCATAATTCAAAAGCATCAATTCTTCGGTGATCAGCCTTCTTTATGGTCCAGCTCTCACTTCCATACATCACTGCTGGGGAAACCATAGCTTTAACTATATGGACCTTTGTTGGCAAGGTGATGTCTCTGCTTTTTAAGATGCTGTCTAGGTTTGTCATTGCTTTTCTCCCCTTCATGGATCACTTCCTTGCCGTGGTGAAGGGGCTTGAATAACTCAGAGAAGCTATGAGCTATGCCGTGCAGAGCCACCCAAGATGGACAGGTCATAGTGGAGAGTTTTGACCAAAAGTGATCTACCTGGAGCAGGAACCGGCAAGCCACTCCAGTATCCCTGCCAAGAAAACTCCATGGACAAAAACAAGAGTCATATAATAGAGGATAGTTCCGAATATATCAGTGATCTCACCATGTTTTCTATGCTTGTGCTAAGAAGGGTTTTAGGAAAGGGTAGTGGGGGGAAATAGCGCCCAAAACAGAAATGATAAAAATGCTATATCTTTACACACTATATGCCTTTCATTCATATTTTTTAGGATGATGTGCTGAACTCACCTTGGTCAGGTTCCCTGCCTGATGTGAACAAACTCATTTTATCAAATTGTCTTTTTCAGATATGATGAAAACAATCAATCCATGGACAAGGGCTACCCGAGAAAAATAAGAGAAGATTTTCCTGCAATTGGCCAGAAGGTTGATGCTGCCTTTCAGCACAATGGTAAGGGGACTTTTCTGCATAACTTAACACGAGTTCATGCATAGAATCATGGAGCTGGTTGATAATTTCATAGGGAGAGAGAGACCTCATAGGGAGAGAGAGAATGTAATGACATTCAAGTCATCAGTAAAAAAGCTAATGACACCAGGTTTGCTGATTCAGACAATTTGGTGGCATCAAAGCCCATCAGCCTTGAACGTTTTCAGACACCTTCATGGGATAATTGCATGGCAAACACCACCACGCAGTGGAGAGGAAACCTGATTTGCTAAATCCATCAACCTTCTCCAGTACTGGGAAATTCTGAAGACAAACAAAGGCTGGATCTAGACACATCAAAAAAGTGTTTCAGGAAAACACGTTGTAAACTTTATTATGGGAAATCACGTTGGTGGAAGCCAGGACTCCACAGCGCCATCTGGTGTCCCAGTGTTATAACGCATATAAAGTGCTTTTTCTTTACTAATGTAGCTGAGTCCACAGTTACAGCCACAGGAGCAATTTGCAAGGAGTTCAAAATTCTATTTTCTTGCATTTTAAACCCCACCTTTCTTCTGTCATGGTACCCAAAAGTGTTTTGGAACATTGCCTCTGCTGTCTTGACACCAACCCTTCTTAATATAAATCTGCTATAATAATACAATCTCCGTTTGGTTCTAGGATCCTTCTATTTGTTCCGCGGGTCGAAGCAGTGGCAGTTCGATCTGAATGCGAAAAGAGTGATTTGTGTCATGAACAGCAACAGCTGGTTTAGCTGTTAGCATTTTCAAAATCCATTTCCTATAAGGAAAGAAAACATTAACATTTCTGCCAGGACATCAAGAGTCGAGTACATCCAGAAATATGCAATCTTGAATTCTGTCTTCAAAACAAAATGCCTTTTTCAACAGTCTGTATTTAATCGCTATACATATAAAACAGTGGCAGGACTTTAACTGCCTTTTTATTACTGCGCTAATGTATCTTCCTGAGATGTCCTGTGCAATCCTTTACATATCAGCACAGGAGTAAACCCCATTGATTTCAATGAGACTTCCTTTAAGATCAGTGTGTTTAGGCTTGCAACTTTCATGTGTTTACGTTCTGAATGGGCTTTCAATAAAACCGGTTCACTGTTACAGTCTACGTTTAATGTTTTTTGAATAAGAGGAAATATAAAGTAATAATTCTGAGGGGGGTTTTAATTTAAAAAAATGAAAAGCAATTTACGAAACTGCTCTGACATATTATACAACTTTTTCAGATAAAGCACAGAATCCTCGCATTGCATAATGAGAAATGTAACTGTTCAAAGGGAAGAAAGGAAAGGTTATAGGAAATTAGAGGTTGGGGCAGCTTTTGGTCATAAGTGATTCAGTTTGTACTGGGAAAGTTTAGGAGAGAAGACACACAAGGGAAAGATGAAAAGACAGTTCAGAACAAATACTGCGTATGTATCTGAAATGTGCATGGTGTAAAACGATCCTCTAATCGCTTTCATATGCTTCAAGGAACAATTTTCAGGGGCTTATGGCTGGATCGGATGAACAAGGGTGCCTTTATCATCAAGTTTCACTAAGGCAAGTACACCCATTCACACTTATTGACTGTGGATCAGTGGCTGCCACAAGCAGAAGCTATTCTAAGTGGCAGATATTGCAAAGCAGTGAGGTGTTTGCATACATTAGGAAACTTTCAACACCTGAAAATGGGTTGCTACAGCGAAAATTACCTAATCCCCATGGTAAACCAAATATCATGTGGTTAACAGCTGTGCTTTGTAAAACGATCCTCTAATCGCTTTCATATGCTTCAAGGAACAATTTTCAGGGGCTTATGGCTGGATCGGATGAACAAGGGTGCCTTTATCATCAAGTTTCACTAAGGCAAGTACACCCATTCACACTTATTGACTGTGGATCAGTGGCTGCCACAAGCAGAAGCTATTCTAAGTGGCAGATATTGCAAAGCAGTGAGGTGTTTGCATACATTAGGAAACTTTCAACACCTGAAAATGGGTTGCTACAGCGAAAATTACCTAATCCCCATGGTAAACCAAATATCATGTGGTTAACAGCTGTGCTTTGTGCAACAGTTTGGAACAAGGTCCCAATCCAGCTAAACTTGCAGCAACTCATAGGAACATAGGGATGCTGCCTTATCCCTAGTTAGACCATTGGTCCCTCTATCTACTTGAAGATGCCTGGGATTGAACCTGGGACCTTGTGCATCCAAAGCAGGGACTCTGTCACTGAGCTATGGCCCTTCCCTTCCTCAGTCCTGCCCACGTCTACCCAGAACCAATCCCTGTTGAGTTCAGTGGGGTATGGGATTAGAACTTTATACCCCTTGGAACCAATGGAACAAAACTTAGCTTTCCTTCATTATTCCTATGTTAGAATGGCCCCGAGAGGTTCTCACAATAGCTTACAAAAGACTCCCAGACTAAAACTGCACTCAAATCCGGCACAGGAGCAGAAGCTGCATGGTGTCCATATGGAACTGGGATTCTTCAGGCGCCTACCAAAGTCTTTTGAGTCAGCTGGATCTCGCTCAGCCTGCGATGGAACTGCCTTGCTGGCAATTGATGGTTGCCAATCAACACATCCCTCTGGGGTCCTCTGAGGCAAGGGAATAAGGCTAAGCAGCTGGATCCTGCTCAGCCCATGATGGAAGCAGCTTCTGTTGCTGACAGCTGGCAGGTAACAATTCATCTGGGGTAAAGGAGTGTGGCTGAGCAGCTGGATCTCATTCATCCCCATAGTGTCAACATTCCCAGTTAAGTAGCTGTGGCTGCATTTGCTCATTTATCCCTCCATCTATTGTTTTCATCATTGTCTGTAAGCTCCTCAAGGGAAGGACCTCTGCCCTTTTGCCTGTGTACTTCTGAAAATGTGCTGGGTAATAATAAATCATAAAATAAGTTTCAAAGGCACTTTGTCATAACCGATTGTAGCTGGGCTGGGACTGGTAGTTATAAGGAAGCTACAAGTGATGAGGAATGGTTGGAGGAGCTGGGTAGGATGAGATTGGAAAAGAGGAGACTGGGAGAAGATACGATAGCCATCTTCAAATATCTCAATAGAAGATGGAGCAAGCTTGTTTTCTTCTGCTTCAGAGAGGTTAGAGCTCAAACCAATGGCTTCAAGTTACAAGGGGATTCTGACTTAACTTCAGGAAGAACTTTTTTTAAAAAAAATATTAAGAATTTCAGCATAACAAATTATCAAAACATATCATCTTCATCCCCCCCATTTTTCCCTCCCCTCCTCCCTAAGAAAAACCCTCCCCAAGACTTCCCTCAGCTCCTCTCTCTGATTTTTCAGCACTTGTTATTCTCTGCATATTGTAAAATTGTAAAGATCCTTAAATTATCTGTCTATTATGTTAACAATCAATAAATTTGTGTATGTTTATTCAAAACCTGCCAAGGAGTTCAATTCATTTTGTTGTTTTTTTAAGTAGATTATAAAAAGTTCCCATTCTTCTTTAAAGTCACAGTTGTCCTTGTCTCGCAGTTTGTATGCCAATTTCGCCAATTCTGCATAATCCATCAATTTCTCTCGCCACTGTTCTTTTGTCGGGGTTTCCTCGTTCTCCCATCCTTGCGCTATTAAGACTCTTGCTGCCGTTGTCGCAAACACGAATAAATTCTTTATTTTCCTTGGCAGGTCTTTTCCTACAATCCCTAACAAAAATGCTTCTGTTTTTTTAAAAAAATGTTAACTTAGACATTTTCTTCAACTCATTATATATCATAACTTCAGGAAGAACTTTCTGATGGTAAGAGCTGCTCTACAGTGGAATGGTTTCCCTCAGGAGGTTGTGGACTCACCTTCCTTGGAGGTTTCTAAGCAAAGGTTGGATGGCTAATTGTCATGGATGCTTTAGCCGAGATTCCTGCATTGCAGGGGGTTGTACTAGAGGACCCCCGAGATCCCTTCCAAGTCCACAATTCTATGATAATAGGCAAACTACCCACTTACTGGGTTTGAGATACTGGAAGGTGCTGTGTTTCTTGTCACCTTCACTGAATTATCTTAACAGCATCTGCAGGGCAGAGCTTAGAGAGCTGGGCTAATCTTTAGGCCTCTTCAGTTGTTAGCCTCCCACAACCCCTGGCGTCATGTCCTCTGCAGCCATGCCCCGTCATGTAATCTTACATAAATTTAAGGTGTAATTCTGCCTACTCCCAGATGAAACACCGTGTTTGATTAGCCAGATGAATCCTCTAAAAAAGAACAATTACCTATACAATTACAGCTCAGTCATGGCTTTTTATGAGTCACGGCTATTGCTATTTTCTAAAGGAAAAAAATGTGTTTAGGAGCAACTCGGAGTGGGAGATTAAATAGCATTGTAAGCAATTGCTATTTAAACAACCCTCTCACTCTGCAAATGGCTCGCTTCTATTCGTGACCAAACATGTACGTTGATGTCAAAAGAGTGAAGCAACCGGCAAGATGCAGGAGTCAGTCGTCACTTTGACTGCTCCGGACTAGGAAAGACGTGTTTCATGTGCATATTGAAGCCAACTTTGTGCTCAGGTGGATGAGGAACTTGCACGACAAATTCCAATCCGTCTGTTGGGGCCCAATGAAACTGCAAGTGCGTGCAGTTAAACGATGGAACTGCCTTCCACAAGGAGGCAGTGATGGTCACCAGCTTTAAAGGTAAAGGTAAAGGTAAAGGGACCCCTGAACATTAGGTCCGGTCGTGACCGACTCTGGGGTTGTGGCGCTCACCTCACTTTATTGGCCGAGGGAGCCAGCGTACAGCTTCCAGGTCATGTGGCCAGCATGACTAAGCCGCTTCTGGCGAACCAGAGCAGTGCACAGAAAAGCCGTTTACCTTCCCGTCGGAGTGGTACCTATTTATCTACTTGCACTTTGATGTGCTTTCGAACTGCTAGGTTGGCAGGAGCAGGGACCGAGCAACGGGAGCTCACCCTGTTGCGGGGATTCGAACCGCCAACCTTCTGATTGGCAATCCCTAGGCTCTGTGGTTTAACCCACAGTGCCACCCGCGTCACCAGCTTTAGATGGCTTTAAAAGAGGAATAGACCAATTCATGGAGGAGACAACTATCAAAGGCCACTAGGCACAATGGCTTTGCTCTGCCTCTACTTCTGAATACCAGTTGCTGGAAACCTCAGGAATCACAGGATCCTAAAATCATAGAGTTGGAAGGAACACTGAGGATCACTTTGGTCCAACCCCCTGCAATGCAGGAAAATGCAGCTGTCCTATACAGGGATCAAACTTGCAACCTTGGCATCTTCAGCACCACTCTGTAACCAACTGAGCTATCCAGGCTTGAGAGTGCTCTTGTGCTCAGGTCTTGCTTGAGGGTTCCCCACAGGCATCTGGTGGCTCCCTGTGAAAATAGGATGCTGGACTAGATGGGCTGTTGGCCTGATCCAGCAGACTCTTATTGTGTTCTTATGTACTGATTAGCTGTCTGGGAGAGGGAACAGGGAGCCGGATGCAGTACCATTGCACCCAGCTGCCCTCCAAGCCCCCAACTGGTTGTGCCGCAGCTGCTTCTACAGAGTTAAGCATGTGTGGCCTGGTCTGCTATGTAAGTCAGAGATGGGCCAAGGAAATAAAGTATTTCAAACCCAAACAATGCACTTTGCAGCCATCTGAAGCCACTGTATTATGAGCCACCAAACCTTGAAAAATTTAAGAGCCCTGCTGGATCAGCCCAGGGATGAGGAACCTTTAGCCCTCCATATGTTGGCCAACAAAGGTCCGTATAGTTAAAGCCATGGTTTTCCCAG